AGATGGTGGGGTGGTAAGGGGAGAGTTGGGAGACGAGCAAGTGCGCAACGGACGGTGGGATCGCCACGCCATCTGCTCACTGCTTTGCGAGTAATAGAAGCAAGACGGAAGCGCTGTGAAAGAGCTCAAGTATGGATAGGAATGAGGGTGGAACGAGCGACTTTTGTTGGGAGGTTTGGTGATTGCGCGTGGGTCCAGCGGCAGCCGTGTCGCATGCTCACCGCGCTGCTGCTCGCCTCGCCACGTGCGCCGAGCGGCCTTGCGGCGGGCGCGCGTGCGGGCGCACGTGCGGCGGTGAAGCGGCAGGTGCGCGTGGGACGAGGTGGGCGGCGAGCCCATTGCGAGCGCGCGCGGCGGATCCACGCGGCAGCGCCATTCGCGCGCCACCCGACCGTCCGTGCTCACCACTCACTGCACGCTGCGCGCCCACCCCCGCCCCCGCGCGCCACTCACCCACAGCCACCCACGCGCAGCAGTGAGGTACAGGCAGCCCTGCGCGGTAGTGAGGCACAGGCATCCGCGCTTGCATGGGCGCGGCGGTAGCAAGCAGGCGTGCGTGGTTGGGCAGCGCGGTTGCATGGCGGTAGGTGGGCGTGTGGGGCGCACGACACGGTGGCACGCGGCAGCAGTGGTGGTGGCAAGTGGCCATCCGCGGCACCACCGTCATCAGCGCCCAACTGCGCTTTCCCGTAAGAGCCAACTCACACACCGCACCACCCTGCCGCTCACAAGCCACAACTCACTCTCGCGCTCGCCCCTGCAATACGCATGAGTGGCGGTGAGAGTGAGTGGTGAGAGTGAGAGGTGAGAGTGAGAGGTGTGAGTGTTGTGAGTGTCAAGATAGCAGGCGGAAACGAGAAACAGCAAAGAGGGGTTTTCACTAGCAGGCAGTTGAGTACATATAGCAAACCCTAATTCGGGCTGTACTCGCTATAGAGTACCCCACTGCAGGCTAGACAAACATATCATTCTGACACACCCCCATAGTCAAAGTGGGGTACAATCAACACAACAAGTAGACAATGCAGTAGTTCACAATGATAAACAAAGCTAGAGACTATCACAGAGGGCAAGTGAGGAGGAGGAGAAACTGTGGGGCGAGAAGATGGGAGGCGACGGCTGAAGCTGCAGACACACGGGCAACAGGAGTGCGCAGAACTGTCGCTACCAGGCTAAACCCGGACTACACGGCGACAGACGCAGCTGGCTCTCTGTGCTCACAGGAGTGCTCACACTGTAGCTACCGGGCGCAGAGCCCCGGACTACTCAGGCCACAGGGGGTCGTGGCTCTCTGGACTTCAGGCGCTGCGGCCTCCACTCAACTTCCCCCAGCTGTCCCACACCCGTGTCACACACCCCCTGCTGCACCTCTAGCACTGCTCACACGCCACCCCCCTCGTACAACTCCGACGGCTCCAACACATCCACCCCCCTCAGCGGCAGCTGCAGCAGTGGGAGACGGAGGAGGAGGAGGAGGAGCAGGGGACGGCTCACACACACGGCACCCCCATACTCTCCACCCCCAAACCCTAAAACAGGAGCGCGGGCAGCAGCAGGGGTGGGGCGCGGTCAGCAGCTCGGGGGACGGCGTGCGCAGGCCGAACGAACCGCGCGCGGGCCGCCCGGGCCGCGCGAGGACCTGACGCAGCCCGTACGGGCCGCGCGCGGGCCTGGCGCAGCCCGTACGGGCCGCGCGCGGGCCTGGCGCAGGCCGTACGGGCCGCGCGCGGGCCTGGCGCAGCCCGTACGGGCCGCGCGCGGGCCTGGCGCAGGTCGTACGGGCCGCGCGCGGCCCGCGCGGGGCCCAGGGGCGCGTCGACGGGCGACGGGGGGCGCTTCGACGGTCGACGGGGGGCGACACGCTGGTCGACGGGGTAGGAAACCGCCGCGCCCCTCGGGACGCACGGTGGGCAGAAAACCGCCGAGCGATTCGTGCGCGCGGCGAGCAGAAAACCGCCAGGCGCCCCGAGCGCGTGGCGGGAAGAAAAAACGTCGCGCGCCACGGGGCGCGCGACACACAAGACAGCAGCGGAAGCATCGGGCGGGACCACCCACAGGATCGACCCAGGAGGGTCGACCTGCTCTGATAGCATGTCAAGATGAGGGCGAAAACGAGAAACAGCAAATAGGGGTTTTTCACTAGCAGGCAGTTGAGTACATATAGCAAACCCTAATTCGGGCTGTACTCGCTATAGAGTACCCATGCACAGCCCCACCTTGTAGCAGGCACGCACATGCAGAGCAGGCAGGGCGAAGAGGAAGCATTGGGTGGCGGGTGGTAAGCAGGGCGAAGCAAGGAATGGTGGGTGGAGAGCAGCAAGAGGGCGGGAAGGGGTCCGCGCATGTGGGGAGCATGCGCGTGGGATGTGCATGCAGGTGCTTGCACAACACTCACACCACTCACACCAGTCACACCATGGGGGGTTCAAGGAGCTGCACTGCCCTTCACTCAACCACGTGCTGCTGTGCTGCGCCCACCCTGCTGCCTGCCCACCGCCGCCACCTCCCTCACCCACTCCAACGCCCGCCACTCCCTCCACTCCACCCGCCACATGCGCTCTCACCCTCCGCCTCTCCCTCGCCACACACCCGCCGCCCTTGCCTGCATGCATGCCTCTGCTTCTCCACCCCACTCGCCAACCACCCTGCACTGCACGCGCATGCTCCTGCTGCTGCCCACGTGGGAGCGGGCGGGGGAGTGCAAGCAGGGGCGCGGGGGGTGGCAGCAGGGGCGCGCAGGGAGGGCGAGTTGAGGCAGCTACTGCGTGGCGGCGCGGGAATAGCCGGCTTGTACTCTCTGCGCTGCAACTGGCGTTGCCTCTTGACGTGGGTGGATTGGGGGCAGTGCGCATGGGGCAGTGAGCGCGGAGTGTGGGCGCGTGGGGGCGTGCGGTGTGGGCATTGGGTGGAGTGAGAGGGGCCATGGTTGATGTGGCATGGTGCATGCAGGATGCGGGGCACATGGCATTGGGGGAGCAACCACCTGCATGCACATCCCACGCGCATGCTCTCCACATGCGCGGCCCCCTTTCCGCCCCCTTCCTGCTCTCCACCCACCATTCCTTGCTTCGCCCTGCTTACCACCCGCCACCCAATGCTTCCTCTTCGCCCTGCCTGCTCTGCATGTGCGTGCCTGCTACAGGGTGGGGCTGTGCATGGGGGTGGGTGGGGATGAGGGCAGGTGAGTGCGTGGATGAGGCATGATGGGGGGTTCAAGGAGCTGCACTGGCCTTCACTCGCACGCATTGCCCATCACACCCATTCACTGCCCCTCAATGCCTGCATGCGCCTTAGTGCCAATCACTCACTCCACCACAAGCACCACCACCTGCCACCCCACGCTGCCCGCTACACCCACCCGTAATCCCCCACAATGCGACCCCTCGCTGCACTTAACCCTGCAAGCAACCAAACTCTGCGTACCTCTCATTCCTCTCCGCCCATTCCCCTCCCTCCCTCCCCCCGTCCCTCCCTCCCTCACTCACTCCCTCCCTCCCGTGCTCCCTCCCTCCCTCCCGTGCTCCCTCCCTCCCTCCCTCCCTCCTTCCCTCCCTACCTCACTCACTCACTCACTCCATCCCCCCCTTCCTCCCTGCCTCCCTCCCGTGCACCCTCCCACTCTCTCTTGACGCACCTGCAGCAGCAGGGAATGACAGCCAGGCGTCAGTCACTCCCCCACGCCCACGCCCACGCCCACGCCCACGCCCACGCCCACGCCCAAACCCTGCTCTTGCTGCCACACCTTGATGCTTGTGCTGCAGCGTGCCTCATGTGCTGCAAGCGAGGGATGTTGTTTGTGAGCGCTGTGTGCTATGAAGCCACTGCCTTGGTCCGTCTCAACTCATCATGCTCTGCTGTGTGTCACCACGCCTGCCAAGTCAGCACAAGCACTGCCGCTGCACCAGAAATTGAAGTGGACGGTACTAGAGCTTGTACAATGTAGTGCGGTATCTATCACACCTCCCAGAGCATTGTGTGTCAAGTACCGTATGAATGGACACACACACACCATTCACTCACCCTAGGAGTCTCTGTACTAGCCCCTGCAAGGTTGCTGCATCCATTCATACCCCAATGCCACTTCAAATTGTACAATAGCCAATGCTACCATTACAGGAAGGAACTACTACCGTACTAGCCACAATTTCACAGCAACTACTCACTATTTGCTACCTCAGTCCTGAGCCATCCCTTCAGGAGCACATCAGTCCTGAGCCATCCCTTCAGGAGCACATCAGTCCTGAGCCATCCCTTCAGGAGCACATCAGTCCTGAGCCATCCCTTCAGGAGCACATCAGTCCTGAGCCATCCCTTCAGGAGCACATCAGTCCTGAGCCATCCCTTCAGGAGCACATCAGTCCTGAGCCATCCCTTCAGGAGCACATCAGTCCTGAGCCATCCCTTCAGGAGCACATCAGTCCTGAGCCATCCCTTCAGGAGCACATCAGTCCTGAGCCATCCCTTCAGGAGCACATCAGTCCTGAGCCATCCCTTCAGGAGCACATCAGTCCTGAGCCATCCCTTCAGGAGCACATCAGTCCTGAGCCATCCCTTCAGGAGCACATCAGTCCTGAGCCATCCCTTCAGGAGCACATCAGTCCTGAGCCATCCCTTCAGGAGCACATCAGTCCTGAGCCATCCCTTCAGGAGCACATCAGTCCTGAGCCATCCCTTCAGGAGCACATCAGCAGAGCAACAGTTTTTTGGCTGGCCTTCCACCCTCCAGCCATCAAGGTCAGCAAACCCACACTACCACAAACAGCCTGCTGTGAAGCAGGCTGCAAAAAAGGCTAGTGTCCCACCATGCTTCCCAACCCGCATCCCCAAACCGCCCCACAACCCCCCACTCGCTCCTCACTGCTGTGCATCTGTGTCTTTACCCCATCCCACCATTTCCCTTCATTGTCCGTCTGGACTTCTTTTATGTCTTTTTGTTTTTTTTCTTTTTTTTTTTTTTACCATTCCTTTTAAAACCATTCATTTTGTTCTCACGGCAGCAGTCAAGGCCGCCATGGGCGCCTTGAGGTGGCGAGCCCGACCTTGGGTGTTGTGCTAGGCCGCTTGCGTGCAGCTTCAAGTTGCACTCCCTGCACCTCCCCGTGTGGTGCAGCAAAGCTAGGCCTAGGAATCAGAGTCGCTCCCTCCACGCGCCTCACATTCACTCTCTTGTTGCTCGGCTTCGGGGTGCGCGACGGCGGTACAGTATGTGCTGCCTTGCTGCGACCTGCTGACGCCGTTGACGCGCGGGAATGCGCTGCACATTCCGTCGACGCTGCACATTCCGCCGACGCTGCACATTCCGCCGACGCTGCACATTCCGCCGACGCTGCACATTCCGCCGACGCTGCACATTCCGCCGACGCTGCACATTCCGCCGACGCTGCACATTCCGCCGACGCTGCACATTCCGCCGACGCTGCACATTCCGCCGACGCTGCGCATTCCGCCGACGCTGCACAATCCGCCCAATCTGCAGAATGCGCCGGTGCTGCAGAATGCGCCGAAGCTGCAGAATGCGCCGATGCTGCAGAATGCGCCGAAGCTGCAGAATGCGCCGATGCTGCAGGCTCCGATGCTGGAGAGTTCGTCTCGGCAGATTCTGATGCTGCACGTCGCGATGCTGCGGAATCCGACGTTGCAGCTGCAGTTTGCGATTCGGCACAATCGGCCGCTTTAAGCGTCACTTGATCTGACCTTGAAGCCGGATCTTGTGTCGGCGCTTGATCCAACGTCACATGTGGAAGCACTGGAAGCATTGGCGCTGCTTCTGTGTCGTCGCGAGAGCAGGCGTCGTTGCATTCGGCGCCGGCGTCATGGCTAGTATCATTGTTGGTGCTGCAGCGGGCCGTGACGGCGGAAGCAAGGCTCGTGTCGTTCGATCCGCCGCTGGACGACTCGCCCAGCGGCTGAACGCGGCGTGATGCCGTCGAGTCCTCCCTGCCGAGACTCTTCCAGAAGCTCAGCGCTGCAGCATACGACGGATAATCTGAGCAGGAAACTGAGGCCATGCTGACGCTGAATGAAAACGGCAACGGAAGGCTGAGAGCTAGTCACAAGAGAGAGCGAAGCAGGAGAGCGATGAGAGGAATGAGCGTAGGCAAGGGATTTGTAGTGCGTAGGTGTGAGGGTGGTGAGTGGAGTGGCGGAGAGGCAGAGAGGGAAGGACTTGGGGTCGTCGGGGAGGGAGGCGAGCAGACACCAGGGCAGCACGCACGCTCCGTGCGCCGCGGAGAGATGAAGGTGCGGGAAAAGTGGGCTGGGGTGTTACTTCGGTTCACTCGGGTGAATTCAGCTTCGCGCGCACTTGTGTGCGTTTCATGGCGGTCGGGTACCTCCTGATCTCCTCGAGAGGCTAGTTCGGCCTTGCTTGTCTGAACCAAACCACTCTCGAGCCGCTCCCGTAACCTTCCCGAGCCAGCTTGTGCCCTTGGTTTTCTCCAATCTAGTTCCCGCTGGCTTGCCTTGTCGACCGCTTTCCATACCTCCAAATCTTGCAGCACCGTACGTATAAAATAGTGACAGACATTTTGCATATGCCTAAATATTACAAAAATGCTACTTGGACAATTGAGTTATATTCAACGTCTTGTGCTGTATTTCAAGTCCATTGTAAAGAAAAAAAAAAAAACCTTTTTGCCTTGCTGGGATTAAATATTTCGCGTACAATTCCAACTTTTGGAAGTGCACGTTCAGTTGGTTTGCTTGATGCCGAAGCAACATCGCGTCGCGTCAGCTTCGGTTTCCCTTTGCCTAGCCTGCATCCAACCTCGTGTCCCTGAGGTTCCCGCCTTGCTAGGCTGATCCCCTATCTAATCGCGTTCCTTTCATTGTGTTGCCATTTAATCTAATTACCGTAATACCCTGGATATAAGCGCAGGCATGGGGTTGCTGAGTGCCGCATTAGCTTGGTCATGGAGATCGCTCGTACCTCCTTGATCCATGCGGTGGCTCCCCATTTTCTGTGGCCGTTTGCGGTCCGGTACGCCGCGCATTAGCTCAACCTCTGGCAACGTGTCTCCTTGCCAGACACCTCGCCCACACTGCGTTGGATGGGAGAGGTTGGCGATGCGTCGCGTTTCCGAGTCTGGGGTGCTCGTGCCCTTGTCCGCGATACGTCCGCGGACAAGCTCTTCTCCCGCACCATTCCCTGTGTCTTCCTTGGCTTTGTCCCTGACGCGTCTGGCTGGCAGTTTTACCACCCCACCTCGCGCCGCGTCTTCCCCTCTCAGGACGTCACGTTTGACGGATCGGTTCCTTTCTACCGTCTCTTCCCCTACCGCACTGCCCCTCTCCCTCCCCCGCCGCTTTTCCTCGCTCCAGGTCCCCCTCCGGTAGGACCCCTCCCCCCTCAGGGTCCTGCTCCTTCAGGTGTGTCTCAGGTAGACCCACCCCCCTTGGTTGAGCCTTTGGAGGTCACTTCTAACACCTCTGGCCCAGCTGAGGGGGGTGACGTTGCTGCTGACGCCCCGGCGGCCTACCGCCGCACACCACGCTTGGAGACCTCTCCGAGTTTCCCGCCGCGACCTTCTTCGCCGCCTCTGCAGCCGGTTACTGTTGACTCTGGTGCTGCTGGGGGTGGTGCTACTCGGGGTGCTGCGTCTGGGGGTGCTGAGCCTGTGCGTGAGGTGCTGGGTGTCAGAGGTCCACTGCAGATCCCCGATTGATCCTAGGGAAGGGTTACAGGCACATTGGCCTGGGGGGTTATGGGCGCACTCACCCGCTACACAAATAAGCCCTTTTATCCCAGTGGTTAGTGGTTGGGATTCTGACATGGTATCAGAGCGAAGGTCTCGGGTTCGAATCCCGGTGTGTGCACTTCGGGCATCCCAGTGCGGGGGGGGTGTCAGAGGTCCACTGGAGATCCTCGATTGATCCTAGGGAAGGGTTACAGGCACATTGGCCTGGGGGGTTATGGGCGCACTCACCCGCTACACAAATAAGCCCTTTTATCCCAGTGGTTAGTGGCTGGGATTCTGACACCGGGAGGTGTGGAGCCTGGGGGTGCTGAGCCTACGAGTGCGGAGCCTGAGGGTGCTGAGCTGGAGGGTGCCGGGTCGGGGGGTGCTGAGTCAGCTGGCGTTCCTCCGGGTCGTGCTGCTGGGGCTGGCAGTCCTGCTGCTGGGGGTGCTGCTGCCGGAGGTACTGGGGCTGGAGGCCCTGGAGCTAGTGCTGTCAACCCTGGAGTTGGAGGCCTCGCGGTGCCCCCCAGCCACTCACCACGCTTGGCGACCCCTCCGGGTTTTCCACCTCGACCGTCTTCGTCGCCTCTGCGGCCGGTTCCGGTTGCCTCTGGTACTACTGGGGGCGGTGTTGCTCGGGGTCCTGCGTCTGGGGGTGCGGAGCCTGGGGGTGCTGAGTCTGCTACTGGAGCTGCTGGAGCTAGTGGTCGTGGAGACGCTGGGAGCACTGGTGTTTCTGGTTCTGGACGTGCTCGTACCGGGGGTACTGGAGCTGCCAGGACTGGCGGTACTGCTGGAGTTGGAGGTGCTAGTTCTGGGGGTGCTGAGTCTCCTAGAGGTCCTCTTGGTGCTGCGTTGCAGCGTGACAGCAGCTACGCGAGTGGTACGCTCAGCGCTGCCGCCGTCGGGGTGCTGCGTCTGGAGGTACTGGGGCTGGAGGCCCTGGAGCAAGTGTTGTCGCCTCTGGAGTTGGAGACCCTGGTGCTGGCGGTGCCGGTTCTGGGGGTGCTGCTGCTGGAGGTACTGGAGCTGGAGACCCTGGAGCTGGAGGTGCCAGTTCTGGGGGTGCTGCTGCTGGAGGTACTGAGGCTGGAGACCCTGGAGCTGGAGGTGCCAGTTCTGGGGGTGCTGCGACTTGAGGTACTGAGGCGGGAGACCCTGGAGCTGGAGGTTCTGGCGCAGCTGGAGGCGCTGGAGCTTGAGGTTCTGCAGCTGCTGGAGGCGCTGGAGCTGGAGGTTCTGGAGCTGCTAGAGGCGCTGGAGCTGGCGTTTCTGGAGCTACTTGTGAGAGTACGACGGCTTATGCTTGTTATTCATGCTTGCTTTTATCTCATTACGCAAATAATAGCTTAGGTTTATTTTATGCATGCATGAATTGCTTGAATTCCTAGGCTAGGTGCTTTCCTATGTTTTATTATAGTTATAGCACCGAGCTAGGTTACGTACACCGAATATTATTCTATTCGGTTGCCACCGAACTGCCTTCAACCGAATTCGGGAAGGGTCTTTTCGGGACGCTTCGCGACTCGAGGAACCTTCACGTAACACTTGGTTACTGCCCCTTGTGTCGAGCCTATATATAGCCTCGTGTTGTACCCAGGTAATCATTCAATTCAAACTCTCTTTTCTGAGCTCGATCCTAGATCCTCACACTTGGTATCAGAGCCCGTTTACACGCGAAGTTTTTTCGACCGCTAAAAACCAGTCTTAAAAAAACCGCGGGGGCGACGCAGTTAAACATCGATTTCGGGTACGTAAAACCGGTTCCGTGTTTTTCGCTCCCCCTCGATTCGGTTTTTCGGACGCGTTAATGTCAGGCATGGAGGGCCAAGGCGACAATTACGCGACCACGAGCGACATCGCGAGCCTCCGCACCGACATGGAGCAGACGCAGGCGACGCTTCGTCGACTCGAAGCCCTTCTGACAAACCAACCAGGCTTCGCCACCGCAGCAGCAACGATCGCAGCGAATGCAGCACCGACAACACCAGTGTTAGAAACAATAGGAGTGGGGCCTAGGCTTAGTAGCCTAGGCCCACACTAAGAGGTAGTAGGATGTGCCCTAGGACTAGGGTTTTGGGTATGCGAAGGAGAATTGGAGAAGAGAGAATGGAGAATGATGATGAACTAGCAAGCAGCAGGATACATATAGGAAACCCTAAGGGGTTGTACTCACTAATGAGCACCCCACTGCAGGCTAGACAAATAACATAATCTGACACACCCCCATAGCCAAAGTGGGGTGTAATCAGCACACGTGAGAAGTCACAGCAATAGTTCACAATTATCAGCAAAGCTAGTGGCAGTCACAGGAGGCCAGTGAGGAGGAGGAGGAACTGTGGAGGGAGAGAAGAGAGGAGGCGACGACTGAAGTTGCAGACACACGGGCACCAGGAGCACCAGGCTGCAACCTCCTCCAACTGTCTCACTCCCCCCTACACACACCCCCAGGGTCACCACTCGCTCCTCGCCCACATCACCCCCCTAGCGCCACTCCCTCGTCTCCCACACATCCACCCCCCCGCAGCGGCAGCTGCAGCAGTGGGAGACGGAGGAGAAGGAAGGGGCGACGCACAAGGAGCACCCCCACACCCGCCACCCCCACACCCTCCTGTCCAGGGGACCCAGGGGGGAGGGGGGGGGGGGGGGGGGGGGGGGGGCCGGGGCGGGAGAGCGCACGAGGGCGCAGGCAACCGCGCGTGCAGAGCAACAGCGCGGAGCAGGTAGGGTAGAGCGCACGAGGGCGCGGGCAACCGCGCGTGCAGAGCAACAGCGCGGAGCAGGTAGGGTAGAGCGCACGAGGGCGCGGGCAACCGCGCGTGCAGAGCAACAGCGCGGAGCAGGTAGGGTAGAGCGCACGAGGGCGCGGGCAACCGCGCGTGCAGAGCAACAGCGCGGAGCAGGTAGGGTAGAGCGCACGAGGGCGCGGGCAACCGCGCGTGCAGAGCAATAGCGCGGAGCAGGGCGCACGATGCACGAGGCACGAGGCACGAAGCACAAGGCACAAGGCACGAGGGCGCAGGTAGGTAGGTAGGTAGGTAGAACAAACGAACACAGGCAAAACGAACAAATACACGAACAAGACGAACGTACACGGAGTGGGCAAGAAAAGACACATACAGAACGAGAGGAACAAGACTGCGGGTGACAGGAAAAGGAGGCGGCTGCACCGGGACCAGGAGCGGCGTCGCATGCAGCTGCAGGGTCGGCGTCGTGGGCTGCTGCAGAGGCGGCTGCTGCAGGGGCGGCTGCTCGGGTCCAGGGGCAGCTGCAGCAGTGGCGACTGCTCCAGGGGCCAGGGGCGGCTGCTGCAGGGGCGGCTGCTCCAG